CGCATTGGGTCCCTTTTGCTCCTTACTGTAGTTCTAATCTGTGCCCACCCGCCCTCGCCCCGTCCGGGGTCGCCGAGAGCAGCATCTACAGAGTAAAGGCTGCCCCTGGGTCCAGCCGTCAGGCACCCGAGAGAAGAAAGCAGATAGAGGTGATTACAGGGCGCCAAGAAGTTTCCCTCTGAGATCTGGAAACCTGGGGGGCGGGAGATGGTGGCTCCTGCCAAAGGATTCAGGGCGACCGCTCGGAATCCAACCCATTTGCTTCTCGCCGGTTAGAGAGAACGGACGCCCGGTATGCTGAGGACAGACTGGAGGCTGCGTCCATCTCGCCCAGCTTTTCGCCTGGAAGAAAGCTTGAAAAAACCTGAGCTGTCGCTTGGATGGCGGTTAGAGGACAAGGTGTTCCCACTCCTCCATCCCCTCTCCCTGCTGCGGAAGGGTAACAGAAAGTAGCGAAGTTTGCAAATAAAGGGAGTTGTCCTAACACAGTAATCACATCCATACGTCCATACCTTGAGGGCTCGGCCGTTGTCCTCAGGATGCTTCCCCAAAAAGCTGCTTCCTAACAAATCTCTCCCGGCAAGCCGAACCCACGGCTCAGGCGGAGGACACGCCGAAGAGGAAAACATTGGCAAACACGAGGGAATCTTGCCGGGAAATCCAACTTACCAATCCCTTTGCACAGTGCCTTTCCTCAGGGTGCTGCTTTGAAAACACATCAACAAACAAACCCCATTTGCGGACAGAACCCAGCAGCCTGGGGAGAACTGAGGCAGGGGCATAGGAAGTGGAGGGCAAACTGGGGCGGAGAAGGCAAGGGACAAGTTCTAGGCAAGCGGATTATGTTACCTTTCCTCCTATTACCAGACTTCCAGGAGGAGAGATCTCGATGTATGCATAAACTGAATATCCTGAAGTGGATAAGACTCTGAAAGCAACATTTGAGGAGGGTAACCTTGACTGGTTGGAGTTAAGGGGGGTGGGGGAGGCAAATATTTCTGTTTGTGCCCTCTGGCTCTTCCCAGCACCGGCTGTCAATCCCAAGGCTTGTTATCCTCACAAGGCTTCAGTTTGTTTGCCTGATCTCAGCAAGGTTTTCTTCCACAAGTAGAACTATAATTGCTATAATTCTACTGTATCATTTGGATCATTGCAGTATTGTTGTTTTCTCTCCCTCTTTCTCTCCTCCTAACACTGCAATAACGCGCTCCAGTGTTAAATTAGCAGGTTGCGGAAGACCATAAATGAATGAAAGTTTGTTAAAAAAAAAAAGAAAGAAATTAAATAAAAAAACAGCGAAATGACTTGGCAAAGGGGATATCACATCACAGAGAATCCTTGCATGTAATCAGGACTTATTGTCTTCCTTTCCAATGGCTTCCAAATTGGTCGCCAGACTCCAGGGAAGTTTATTTCTATTGTTTAAATATATGTTTTGAAGAGGTTGAGCATAATTTAAGGGAACCTGAGCCTTCCGGTGAGCCTGGAAGCCCATCACAGCTTTATTTATCGATGTGTATATTGCACAATAAATTAAAACATCTCAAATGAAAGTGTATGAGGTTAACTCTCCTCCAAACATTTCCCCCCTGGATAATGACATCTAACTGCCACCCCCTTATTCTGCATTTCTTGCAAATATAATTTTGAAACTATAATGTAGAGTTAGCTCCCTCACCACAGAAAAGGGTTTCTTCTTTCACCTCCTGTAGGTAATTATTATTTCCATTTCTGGGACAAGTCCCATTTTTTTTACTATAAACAACAGTTTTAAACACTTTCGACCCTCACTTCCAACCATGATTGTCATTTTTATTTTAGTGATTCATTTTGAAAGCAAGTGAACTGAACACCATTGTTTTCCAAGCAGTCCCGGAAAAGCAAACCAGCAGTTACAGATGTAAAGATTAAGGGAGCTAGAGTTATAAATAATAAAGTATGAATATGAGTAATATCACTAAAATGAAATTATCTTTATTAGAAAGTGTTAGAAAGTGAAGTGAAATGTCATTTTGCTGGCAGAGTAAATATTAAATTGGGCTAAACTACAAATTCTTTTGCACATGGTCCTATACTCAATTCTTAAAAGTCTATCTACTCAATGACCAATTAAATTCTTCCTAGACAGGGGCATGGTCTTATTTCTAAATTGACATGTAGGGTGGCACACATATATATCCCACTAGACATTGTAGGGATGACAGCAGACTCTGCCCATCCAGTACCTTAAAAAAGTTTTCTGTATTTTTTTTTTTTTGAAATTTAATCTCTGGGGAATAGCAAGAGTTAGTTGTAGATTCTGAAGTTGGATATTGAGTTGTGATAAATCTCAGGGCTGCTGAGTGTAGCACGAGCTGGGTCAGGCCCTTTTCCTGTAGTTAAGTGGACCCGTCTTTCCAACAGCATCCTTCCTTGGGAATTGATTAGAAAATACCAAAAATAAATAAAATAAAATGAGCAGAGCAAATAAAACTAGTATTTTCTCACAGGCCTCCCAAAGAAACACTTCATGATCCATTAATAGAACTGGATTTACCTCCGGGGATCATTAAGTCAGAATCAGAAATTCTGTTAACCTCCCCTTTTACAGTGGATGATTAAAATTAGAACACACCCCAGCAGAAAGTCCGACTTCTTTTAAAAGAAGAACAGCTGCAGAAGGGGGAGGAGGGGGACCGAGGCAAGTCTTCCACGGAGAGGCTTGAAACCCCGTTGGGCTCTCAGAAATGATTTGTGCATTTGTGTCTCTTTTTGTTCAACACGATCTTTCCTAGACTCCTTTTCAACCCACTCCCTGCATGTACGGAGCCGATTCTGAAGTCACGCAGCCACCTGGCAGCCGGGTCTTGTGGATTTCCGCCGCGGGCCAGCCGTGGAGGGAAAAGTGCCTCTGTCTCTCCCAGCGACCGGCGGCAGGGACTCCGCGAGGGTCCGCTGCTGGAGGCTCGCTGGAAACCGTGCGTCTTTACACCTCTCAGCAGCGAAGAGACCCAGTATCCCGGAATGGGCTTGCGGGGCCGGAAGAGGCTAGGGGGAGGGAATTCGCGCGCGTAGTGTTAGTTTAAAGCTGAATAGGACACTATAAAAACCCCGGACTGTTGGTGAGGACGAAAAGAAAAAACAATGTAGGAAAGGCAGGATCCCAGGCTCCTTGGAACCACAGGGGACTTAAAAAAGAAAATCAAATGTCGAGCTAGCTCAGGTTTTCCTCTGCTCCTCCCCCACTCCGTATCATCCAAGTGTACGAAAATGGGTGAGAATCCAACTAAAATCGAGAGAGACAGAGAGAGAGAGAGAGACTGAGAGAAAGCGAGACAGAGAGAAATCCTTTTCCTGCTCCCTTTAACAGTAGTAGTATAGCAATCGTATTATTATTATTAATATGCCTGGTCCCAACTCTTCATGCCCCTCGAACTGTGTCTTGCTTGCTCCTGCCAAGCCAGTCCGATCTGTCTGCCCCCCAGCCACTATCATCCAAGAGTTATTCAGATATTTATGGCTAGGGAAAAATTCCAGTTATGCATCCTTGTATTTTTAAATACTGACTGTAAGTGATTCAAGTATAATCCTTTGTAAAACGCTTTTCTCTTTGACACGTTGAGGGGATTGAGAGAGGAAAACCCGAAGTGGATTCCCTTCCCTGACCCCTCTGCCACCCACCACCTTCGCCCCCACCCTCCCAGCGCCAGGGCCTTGGCTGTCCCTTCCGCTCCACACCCAGGCAGTGAAGACGTTTGTGCGGGACTCTCGCCTGGGCTTGGCCCAACTTCGCTCAGAGTTGGGTCTTGGTTATCAGCTTCGGTTGCGCAGGAAGCTGTTTAAACGAGAAGCAAAGCTCTCTCCCTAGGGCTCATTTCTCTCACCACTGCTAATAAGAACCAGGTCATGAGAATTGAAAATTTTGGACACTTGGATGTGGTGGAAGCCGAACCTGGGTTCCTTCCACCCCTGGGCTCTCGGAGCACTCACCCCGCCCCCTCGCTTCGCTCCCAGGCTCTGTTGGAGGGCGGGCGAACAGCCTCGTGCTGCCGGCTTCACTGAGATGAATTTGGAGGAAAGAGAAGAGTCCTGGGAGATGGGGGAGACCCCCAGCTCGGTCCCCAGTTGTCCCCTCCTGGAAGCTAGCAGTCACGAGTCCCTTTGCCCTCTGTAGATGCTCTGAGAAGGCCGAGCGCCTCTGGTAGAGCTTTGTCTTTGAGGGAGCCTTTTCTCATTCCAGACTCTAACACCCCGAGGAGTGCGCGGGAGATGTTGTTAACAACAGAACGACAGCGGCGCTGGGGGCGAGGTCGAACAGCTCGAGGCCTGGGCCACAAGAGACAAGGGAACGCTCAGCCGGCAGGTGTTTGCTCCAGGCCCGCACGCTGGCACCAGGGAGGCTCGCGGAGGTCAAGGCGCTGTTCTGGAAGCCCAGCCGGCTTTGAGAAGTGCCAGGTCGGCCTGAACATGAGCCTCGGAGCCTCGCCTCCCCGGAGCGAGGTCGTGGGGCTTGTGGGAGGGGGTGCGTGATGCCCAAGTGGCACCCACAGGCCTGGCATCCGAATAAGCAATAGCTTTGGGCCAGCCCTAAAGAGCTACGGGAGGATCTTCAGGAAAAGGATGGCACACTTGGAAAGTTGTTAGCTTAAAAAAGAGAGGAAAAAAGAAAGAAGGAAAGAGAAAGAAGAGAGAAGGGAAAGAAAGAAAGAAAGAAAGAAAGAAAGAAAGAGAGAGAGAAAGAAAGAAAGAGAGAGAGAGAGAAAGAAAGAGAGAGAGAGAGAAAGAAAGAGAGAGAGAGAGAGAGAAAGAGAAAGAAAAAAAATTGGCGGCTCTGGTGCGTGCCTGCAGCTACACCTCACACACACCCCTCCGGCCCCCCCCGAAATCCAGTCCGGGCTTTGCTCTGCGCCCACAGCCCGACGTAGCCCGGCCTCTGGCGAGAGCCAATCAGACCGCGCCTCTCAGCACGTGGAGGAGAGAGACTCCAGCGCTCCGCGCCCGCTGCTCACTACACTTGTTAAGGCTTGTCCTGAGCGCGGAGAGGGCGAGCTCAGGCTGCAGGCAGGGTGGGAGCCAGCAGTCGGCATCCGAGGGAGGCTGAGAGGCACAAAGATTGCAGTAATATCCGTTATAACCAGCCATCTAACCAACCCCCAACACACACACACCCATCCCACCCGCCGGGAGAGGCAGCCAGAGACCCTCTCTGTGCCCAGGGAAAAAGCCCTAGCCATGAGCAATCAGTACCAGGAGGAGGGCTGCTCCGACAGGCCGGAGTGCAAAAGTAAATCTCCAACTTTGCTCTCCTCCTACTGCATCGACAGCATCTTGGGCCGGAGAAGCCCGTGCAAAATGCGGCTGCTAGGAGCCGCGCAGAGTTTGCCCGCCCCGCTGGCCAGCCGCGCTGACCAGGAAAAGGCCGTGCAAGGTAAGGCTGTGCCTATTAGGCACCTGCAAAGAGCGCTGGGCACTGGTTTGGATGTTCCATGTTTGGGGGGCCAGGGGCCTGGGGCTTGGCAAGTTGGAGACCAGGGAAGGAGAGGGGACAACTCTGAGGCCTGGTGCCTCAAAGGAGCGCTGAACATCTCTCTAGGGGCTGTCTCTCCCTCTCTCCTCTGCTTCCAGAAAATGCAGAGGCCCAGCTTCGCTTCAGGGACCCTTAGGTTCTCGTGTCCGTGGATAGGTAGTTTAACTGCTCCTTTCGGTGGCCTTGGATATGCTGTGAAGAGGGCCAGTGGGTGAGGAACAGCAGGTACCTACCCTCTTAGACCCTTATAGCGACAACTTGATGGGACAGAAGCCCAAGGGCTGGTGAATGGGGGTCTCCAGGCAGGGTGAGCCCTGGCCTTTCCTCCTTGGAAGATTTCTTTATACGCGGTGTATTTCTATCTTCTAAAAAACTGTGCATTACTTGTGACCTTTTAAACCCAAGCTTTAGAGAAAACCTTTCCCTGGGATTCTCCCAGTGCTCCTTATTGTGTTTGAAATGTATGAAACGTGTGGCTGCTGGGTGCTCTTTTTCCCCCTGCTGTTATTTTTAAAAAGAGTTGAGCCGTTGAGAGATATGTAAAAGGCTTTATTAATTAAAAATTCCAGAACTACCGTTTTGCCCCGAACCTGTTACACTCAAATTTCCCTTGATCTGGGCGCTGAGGTGTTGTAGGGAAAGAACTGCTTGTGGTTTTTGTTTTTCTTTTTGAATTCAAAAAACAGCAGTCCGGCCGCAACGATGCTGAGAAGACAGGAGGGGACCGTGGAGAAATGACTGTTGAAAATAAAATTGACTTTTTCCTTTTCTTTTTTTAGCCTGCAGTAGCACCAGTGCCAGGCGCTTCCTCCAAGGCAAGGAGCGGCCTGTGCCTGTTGCACCCTTCTTCTGTCCCCACCCCAGGCCGTTCCCAGCACATTTGCGCTAGGGTGATTTTATTTCGCCTTTTGTGCTAGGTCTCCCGCCCGCCTCCCACTGTGGGCTTTGGGGGACCAGGTCAGGCCAGGGCCGCTTCGCCCCGCAGGGGTCGCCCGCCGCAGGGCAGCGCCCCTCTTGCCAGCCTGTGCCCCTGTGGAGGAGCAGCGCGCAGAAGTGGTGTGCAAAGTTTTCAGAGTGTTGGTGATTTTTTTTAAAGTTGTTGAATGATTTTGGATTCTCCCCTGCCCCAAGATGGGAAGAAAAAAGTGAGAGAGCGGGCTAGGGGAAAGAAGAAGGAATGAAAGGAAGGAAGGAAGGAAAGAAGGACACAGAGAGAAGGGAATTCACGCAGACACAGGAAGAAGAGGTGCGAGAAGGCGAAAGATGAGGAAAGGAAGAGGGGAGAGAAAGACAAAACTAAAAGAGAATGAGAGGAATAGGTAAAAGAAGAATAAAGGAAGTAAAGGGCAGAGTGAGAGGGAAAGAAGGAGGGGAGGGAAAAGGGGAAAGGAAACAACAGAGAAAAGGGAGAGAAGAAGGAGGAAAAGCCCGGAAAGTGGGGAAGGAGTCCCAGCCTGAGTGCGCCAGCGCTGCGCTCGCCCGGGCCTAGGCGTGGGGGCTGTGGCCGGCTGGCCCGCGGGCGGCCGCTCTGGAGGGGACTCCCGGGCGAGCTGGCGCGCTGACCGCTCTCCCTTGCCCGCAGGCTCCCCCAAGGGCAGCAGCGCCCCTTT